GGGGGGGGGGGGGGGGCCCGCGAGATCACTCGCGGAGGCGGCACGCGATCACCGAGAGCCGACACGACATTCCGCTGGCTGATTAACGGCGAGACCGACGGCGAATCTTCGCTTCGACAACGAAACCTGCCCCCGCGTCTGTCCGAACGTCCTATCCGCGAAGTGCGCGCGTATGATCGTTATTATTCTTATACTTCTTTTTCTTTACAATCATTATTATTATTACATAATTATAATTATAATTATTATTAATATTGTTATTATTATTCGTCGCGATTGTAGCATCGAAGGAACGCCTATGCTCATGAGCTAAGGATCATCAACTTCGACCCGTCGGATCTCTCGTCACGGCGGTCGTAAAAAATTCACTACTTAACTCGTGTCTCTCGTGGTGACGCGCGCGCGCGCGCGCGCGCGTCGAGTGTCGCGTGTTATTACAAAAGTCTCGTCTCCACTAAGCATAGAATACACATTACAATATAAAGAGATGTCATTTAGAAAAAAGAACGGTACAAAAAGGACTGTAGGAGCGAATTGGCTAACAACGATCGCGCGCGCCGCGGTGGCGCGCCCAGGCGGGACAGAAGATCGCGATGACATCAGGGCGATATCAAAATGACGAGAAAATGATGAAAAAAAAAAAAAAAACCCGGAAAAGTTCACTTTTCACAATTACGACTCGGTCGTCACTTTCTCCCGTCATTTCGACGCGTCGCGCGCGCCGTGATTTTCCGTCCCGCTCAGGCTTTTCCTCCCCTTCGCCGCCGCTATTTGCAACTCTACTACTCGCCGCGGGCGCGTAATTTATCGTTTAATATTCCCTATCGATATCGACGCTACACGCTAGACGCTAAGAATAATTAATAAATCGGCATTCTCTTTTCTCTCTACCCTCGTCTATTCGTCTCTCTCTTTCTTTCTCTCTTTTTTGCTCTCGCTTTCTCGCTCGCTCACTCTCCTTTCGAACCCTTTCACCCCGTCGCATTCATCCCTTCGCGTCGCCACAAAGTCTTTCCCTTTCTAGCCTCGTGTACGTATTAATTACAAAAAAACTGCAAACTCCCCCTGAAAATGTATACGTTTGAAAAAACAAAGAGCTCGCTATAGTTGTCTTCATATATCACTCAAATAAGAAGTACATCGCGACACGTGTGTGCCGTGTGTTTCCGTGTGGGTATGTCGCGCACGTGTATCGTGAATGCATCGGGAATGTGTCTCTGTATGTGTGTGTGTGTGTGTATGTGTGTTACGACGTGACGTGTATGGATGTGTGACACGCGCGAATACTTTCGCCGTCGTGAATTACACGTGTCTCGTGCACGTATGTGTTTATCGGTTGTGGAAGAGAACGACTCTCGCGCAAAACCGTCGCAATTCAGCTTGTTGGGCTGGCAAACGCACGCGACGGCTCGCGTTTAAAACGTACATCGTTTTCTTCTTCTTCTCTTTCTTTTCTTTCATTCGCTATACTTCCGTCGACGGGACCGACCGTCGTCTCACCGACGCGATCCCGCCGGGATAATTTCTCTATCTCCATTTCGAGTTTTGCGTCGACGTTGGAGGACTCGGACTCTCTCTACAAGAGCCGAATTAAATCTTAAACACTTTGAGAAAATATCGTTTCTCTATTCTTCCTAAAGATTTAAAATATCTCGTGAAAAAACGTAACTAATTGCGCGACACAGCTCGCTCTTTCATTTTCCTCTTTTAATATTTAACCATTAATTTCGAGAGTTTACTTATATCTTTATAAGAGTGCTTTGGGAAAAATATCGCTTTTATCTTTTCTAAAGATTTCCGAAGTGCATCTCGCGCAAAGTCGCGTTCAACTAATCGTGCGAATGTTTCTCTTTTCTTTTCCCTCTTTCATTTGGATAGTTGATTTCCGGTTTCACCGTGGCCGCGCGTCACTCTCCCGAGAACCCTCGCGTCGGATTCATTCTCGAGAGAGGTGTTATCATTCTGAAACCATACGCTAGGGGACGAGCTCGGGTATACGAGACGCGAGCAGGACTCGTCCCAGGACCCCGTCCTGCCGTACGAACGTAGAGAACGATCTCGATTGCGGGCAAATATTTTCACAACGCAAGAATAGGAAGAAACCTCGAACTCGATCCGTCGCGAGAAGCGCGGCAGCGGGATCAATCGCGCGTCGATTGTCCTCCGCCTTCGGTGTTCATTACTCGAGTGTTCCCGTGGCTTCGAAGACTAGTCGTTTCCTTGTCTCTAGCAAGTAAATATCGAATGAGCGTAACGCCAATCTATTCGGAAAGTCTCCGCGAATTTCACGCTGAATTTGTGCCGTTGATCGAGGGGGGGAGGGGGGAGGGGAGGATCAGGTGGAGAAGATCGCTCGGCTGGTGGCGAACCTTCCTCGAGGCGAAAAGCCCAGATGGAAGGAGGCCGCCAGACCGACTCGCTCCCTCATTGGCCTCGTTGGCTCTCGTTGACTCTCGGATGAATTACTAATAATGCACATTGTGATTATTAATAATTTATTATCGAGTCAATTCGCGCGCAATGTAGAAGAAATCAAAGGGAGAGATCGTGGAATCGCGTTCGCGCGCGGGGACAGATTCATTAGTCGGGTTACCCAGAGGTGGGCATGCGCGTATACATTCACGCATGCACACATACAAACCCACACACATACACACATATTCACACGCACACCGTGCTACGTGCGGAAGATTAATAGACATTTTATTAGCGAGCCTGACGGCTCACACACGGCTGAGATACGCACGCACGGACACACGCACACGCGCACACACACACACACACACACACGCGCGCGCATCGAAAATTAATCCATGTGCGGATAAATCACTCGTGGATACGTGGTAGCCGTACGCAAAAGCACGCAAATGTTGCCTTCGATTTTTTTTAACCCTTCCGAATTCCCGTGCTTCTTTCCTCCGTATATATAATCGCGTATATATCTCATTTATATATTATACACAAGATCATAGAAATTTTTTTTTCCGTATTCACAATTATATACGCGCTTAAGGACAATATATATATTTATATATAATATATATATTTTTATATTTAATATCTTAAATATATATATTAAAGATTAGTAACAATATAAGCCGATTCTACAAATACTTGACGAATACACGGCGAAACGCTCGCTCTCCCATCCGACGCGGCACACTTTAAACCGCCCGCCGCGCGGTCGCGGGAGTCCCTAGTTAATGCAGGTACAGGATTCGCTAATCGAGGTGAATGTGTGTGTGCCTTTTTTTCACTTTTCGTAGAAACTCGAGATAGTATTAAAAAACGCGCTACTTTCTTCGCACCTAAAGGGACACTATCTGCGTTTCCTCTCTCTCGTCTTCCTCTCTCCCGTAAATAATTCGACTATGGGGGCCGCGGTGTGAGAGCTCGCGCCGACTCGCGTCCGTCGATCGGGCACGCGACGCGGTACTTCTCGATATTCTTCGCCGAGCGCTCACTCTACATGTGGACTATATCTTTACCTAGAAAGGGACAGCGAATCGCTAATACGCGGGGGATGGGGATGGAGCTCGATCGTAAGTAACCCAAACTGTGTCGACGCGACCCCCGAATGATCTTCGAAGCGTTTTGCTCGCCCCTGGGACAATCGCGCGCGTTCGATTTCGCTTTCCTTCAACTCGTCGTCGTTATCATCATTATCATTATCATCATCATCATCACTACTATTCTCATCATTATCATTATCTCATCGTGGTCATCATAATTATCTCGTTTAACGTGAACGTCGGGCACGCGCACAACCGTTTACACGCAGCGGCGTGTCAGCCGCGAGACGGAAAGAATCAAGGGACAGAGAAAAGAGAAAAATTACGAAAGACACCAAAGAAAACAGGGGGGCGAACGTCGTCGTACCCTTCGCCTTCGCGCACGCGGTGCAACTTCGCTCTCCCTCGCGTCTCCGTTACACACAACAATTGCACTGCGCCCAGCTGCATCTTATTTTAGCTTCTTATATCGCGTCTTTCCGCGCTCTAAGATTTGCTGTATAATTCTTTAAGCTTACCACCCTTCTCTTTCTTTTTCCTTCGCTCGTGTATGTATATATGTATACATATATATACACGCGCGCATGTACATTAATTTAATTGAATTATGCTATAAGCGCGCGAACGGCGCCGCGAACACAGGGCGGCCTCGCCTCGCCTCGCTCGAAAGTTTACTATTAATCGATTAATGCGGAAAAGAATAGAGAAAAGGAAACAAGGAGAAATTTTAACACCTACTGAGACGCCGCGACAACGCGAGAGTCCGCGAAAGACGCTCTCGAAAGGCCGGCCGAAGGCGCGACTTTTCAGACTTCGCGACGTCTCCGCGGAATCAAAGAATCCCGACACGAGGATAATTAATTCCCGGTTTCCCCGTACGGGATCCTTCAATCACACGTTGTCTGGACTGTCTTGACGCGACCCTACCGAAGTATCGATCGGGATACAGCGTAATCCTTCATCTCCCTCACTCTTTCTATTTTCTAACTTTGTAACGCGTGAATGCGTGGTTTTCGAGCCATATTATCGTTCATTAGCTAACGGGCTCTCGAAATCTCGAGATCTCGCGCGAGGATTTCGTCGCTCGGAGCGACAGGAAAAGAGCTGGAATCGTACGAGAGGGTAATTACGATTGGGTTCCGATGTTTAGCGAGGTGTTCTCGTCACGGCTTTCCGATCGGTTCGAGTCTTCCGACCATATCCGTCTTCTAAGAGTCTGCACGCGCGCGCGTATGTGTGTACGACTGCGCGTATAAATCTGTGTGCGTGTGTACGTGTGTATGTGAGTTTTCGGTGTATACGTATTCCGATTGCTTCTTTGGTACGTCGAAATGTCTACAGTAGTGACTCTATCGTAATAATAGTGACGGCGATAATATAATCGTAATTAATAATAATCATCGTAATAATAGAGACATACGAATAACCTTAATCATAGTGATACTCGCAGTGAATCGCAGTAGTAGTGTCGATAGTAGCGGAATACCTCGAGCTAACAGTAAGAATCGATGATGATGGTGGTCGTCGTCGTCGTCGTCGTCGTCGTGCATTCGCAACACGGCGATGACGACGTGAATTCATAAAGCGGGAAAAGACGAAGGCGTCTCGAGTCGTCGAAGATAAATTAAAAAAAAAAAAGGCACCTACAGTTCGAAGCCGAAATCTCGTTAAACCGGTCCGACGTGCGTGCATGCACGCGGGCATACACGCATGCGTATGCGCGCGTGTGTGGCCGCGTGGACGGGCGAGATGCCTCATTAAAAAATTTACAAAAGTCATTACATCTCTCGTTGCGACACGACGAGATCGCGCTGAGTCGCCCGCCGACTCCCACGTCGACAGCGAGACTTCGACCTCGAATCTGCATGCGTGTGTGTGTGTATATTTCTGTGTGTATACGCGATGTTTGAGCGCAAATGTGAAAAGTTCTGCGCGTAACGACCCACTTTGTCGAGAGAACGCGAGAAAATCGATCTAAATTTAGTCCTTTTGTGAAATCCTCTCTCGAGAAGTGGGTTAGATCGTTGTTACCGCTACACGTCGAACCAGCTACGCGTACGCGTAATTTACTTGTGTGCACGTGTGTCTCCCTGTGTGCATAATACGCGTATAAAACGAAAGAACAGAGAACGAAGAAAAATCTGTCGCTTATTTACACAAACGCTTCAAGATTCGTCTAGCGTCGTAAAATATATAAGGATATATGTATATATGTATATATATATATATATATATATGTATGTATATATATAATAACTTTATTTAAAAAAATAAAAATTAATTAAACCGTACTCTCGGAAAACGGTACATCAGAGGGTGAGCAGGAGGTGTACGCGGTTTACGATTCTTTCACATTAATAATCAAGCAGTATAGGATCCTATGTACGTGTCGCACACATTTCTCGCTATTCCATTTCGCTCTCTTTCTCTCTCTCTCTCTCTTTCGCACCCTCATTTTCTCCCGCACATACACACACTCTCCCTCTCTTTCTCTTCTTCTCACTCTAATACACGCTCTGTTTATGTTCCTTTCGCGCGAATGGCTTTACTAATTGACGATCTCCGTCGTTCCTCTCGCTTCGAGATCGCCTTCGCTCAGTCGAACTCACGAGAAGACGTCTCTCGAGGGAAGGCAAGTCCTCATCGCGAGGGATCGTACGAATCGTTAGTTTTCTGCTTCCCTCGGTTTCTTTAATCGCCATCGCGATCTCCCTCCCTCTCTTCCTCCCCAACGACCTTGATTTCGTTCGAAGATCACGGTTCGTCGCATCACAATGGTCACACACAAATCCTCGCGTCGTCTCCGCTGATAACTCACGCATACGCACACTGTTTCTCTCGTCGACCCTTCGATCGAGCGCGATCGTCGTCGTCGACGAGGGTGATGAATCACCCGGCCGTCTTTATCCGTTTCTCTTTCGGCACTCTTCACTTTCTCACTAAGATCACTTCGGTCTCCCTTGCTTACTTTCGCATTCTTTCGCGACGCACCATCTTGTTCGCACGCATGTACTCACTCACTCACTCACTCACTCACTCATTCACTCACTCGCACTTACACCTACACACGCACACACAAGCGCACACAGACGCACGGAACAACCACGTATATACGGCGCGCGCGCCCACATATGCACACACGCACGCACACACGTACTCATGTAACTTCTCTGAACTAAGATATTTAGACAAGAATATAACAGCGGTATAAAAAACTTTTCAACACTGAAAAATACAAATCTATCGTAAATGACTACCATTGTTATTCGTTCCCTCCAACGTTTTTTTTTTCTTTATCAATGTGTGTTTTTCCTTTTTATTCTCACTTCTCCCGTTACGTACGACTTCAACTATACACGCCATAACCCGAACGACAGTGGTATAGCGGTCCGCTTGAGCCGCGAACCGATGTGTCCAACCTGATCGTTCTTCTCACTATCCCACGTGTGTGATCGCATGCCACGCGTGTCCGCGAAAGGGTGGGTAATAATCGCATGCTTAATAATCGCACCCTTCTCGCATCTCGCTACGCGTCCTCACGTGCTTTTATATCCCGCTTTTTTTTACTGTCGCGTTGCACAATATCCCCCATTGCCTAATTCCATTCTTTTTCTCTCTTTCTTTCTCTCTTCCCTCCTCAAAGTTTGTCACAATATATTAGATATATTTTATATAATCGTTATTATCAATTATATATATTAGTACTTTATATATAATATATATATCTATATATATAATTGTCATTATATTATATATATTATGCTTTATCACACATATTACAAAGGAGGTGAAGAATCACACCTAACATATTATTATTATTTTGTTTGTGTGTTACTTTTTGTTGTTTACTGGTGTACCTCAAACGTTAACTCCGTTACGGATGTAGAGTTTGTATTTATTTTCTTTATTCTATCCATTGCGCGCCACGCTTGCAGAGGCGTTTGACGGTGTTCCTGTTGTATGTGTATATGTGTATGTTGTGTAATGTAATGCGTGCGTGAATAGAAATGTGTGAAGGTATATACGCGCGTACAACGTTACCGCGTCGCGTCGTTCAGCCGTTTTGTCACTTCCCTACGTCTACTCGCGCCCTTTCTCGACGCGTGGTCAATCCGAAATCTCGTAGTCCGATTCTCGATTGCTTACGGCAAAATCTACGTCGATAACTGTCGATAATCACAAACGATCTACCGCTCAGAATGATAAGAGTCGCGGGGCGCGTCTCATTAGTGCAAACAAATTTCTGTAATCGTCATACAACGGTCCTAAGACGGCGCGCGTTCCGGCAGTACCGCGGCAAATCACATTCCCTTCATCGGCCATATACGCTAAAATAAGAAAAAGCCTGAAGTCGCTCGATAAAGCAAGAACAATCACACTAGCTGTAACTTCATCCTAAATATCACAAAAAAAAAAACAAAAGAAAACAGAAAAGAATACACGCAACTATGTGTATCATTAAATGTGATAACCGAACACGAAAAATTAACAAGTACAGAAAATGAATGTATCCTAAAACTAACGAGAGAGATCTACCTACGAAAGGACGCGGAACGACGTGGCGCGTCCGCCGTACAGTTTCTACCGAGCGCATCACGATTGATTTCCTCTGTTAGATCGACACCTCCGTGAAATGTCTCCCGGACTCCTCTCGCGACGGCGCGCGACCGCGCACCGTTCGACGACGAGCGAGAGATCGTTCGTGAACGGATACCGCGGAAAATTACGCGACATTCGCGCGTCCCGAGACGGGCAAGTCCGTCTCCTTGTTCGCGCGTTTTTCCGTTTTTCCAGCCTCACCCGATGACCGATCCTCGTTTATCCACCGCAAGTGGACCGCAAGTGATATGTGTTCGCGTGGCGCGATCCGCACGCACGAAACACGACGGCTCGACGATCGGTGCGACATGAGTGTTTCGACGCGTTTCGCGACGGACAATTCTGAGCAAGCTTTATCTCTTTCTCTCTCTCCTTTTCTGTTTCTCTATTTCTCTCTTCGGGAGATTTGCGGGAATCGAGGGTTGCGGGACAACTCGCGGTGAGATTATAGGCGAGACGACCGCAGCCTCTCGTGTCCCGTCGACAAAAACTTGACGGGACGTCAATGATCGGATCGTTGGATCTGCCACGTCGTAACAGGGATCCGTAGAAATTTGGGATTATCCCGAATATACCGGGGGCTGGAGGGATACGGCCGTCCGACTACAATCCAACTCGCTTCCGCGTCCGCGGCCCGGAGACAGCCGATCGTTTCGGCCGGTTTTCGAAAATCTCGCTCTGCTGCTCGTCGCGCGCTTTTACACGGAATTACAGCTATTGCTTCTTTCCCCCTTCGTTGCGCCTTAATTCGCTAGCACAAAAATAAGTGTCTCGCACAAAGAGGTACACGATGCCGGGGAAGCGGGAGGTGGAGGGAGGGGACGGGGGGGACCAGTGAACCCCAGATGGGGGAGCGGTGATTATCAATCGGGGCGGGGAGGGGTAGGATCGAAACCCGCGAGACGACCCGAGTACACACAGCGAGATTGAACATTTAGCTAGACATCTATATCCAAAGAGACACGACCGCAATTCACACAGAGTACAGAACGCGCGGTGCGTGTGCATGCGTGTGTTTGTGTGGGTGTGTGTTTATTGCATCGCGTGTGAAGGATGGTAATTAATTTGAAAAGAAAGTCGTATTTTCGTGAGAACCTCTTTACGCTCTCTTCGTGCATTAATGTTGCAACATAAAAAAAATATTTGACTCGATTGTGTGTGTATGTAGGTTGTGTGTGTGTATATATGTGTGCGTGTGTGTGAGTGCGTGCGCGCACACGTGTATGCGTGGCGGAATATAATTGGGGCTTGAAGAAAATCGTGTACTCGAGGCTGGGTTTTTGCGGTTTGCCGCGTGTATCGCGCTGCACTGTTATGGCATGACGCATGTGTGGCTGTGTGTCGATCAGGATTATGCGTGTCTTCGCGCTCCTGTAAGGTTATATATCCTGCAAGAGGCCAGGATACGAAGCAATGTTTCGTGTGTGACGGGGGGGCAACACGTCTTATCCTCCTTTCTCGCTCGCTTCTCCTTTTTTTTTTTGCATGTTTTATCCTTTTTTGAACATTAGAAAAATTTGTCTAGAAAAATCGGTCACGGTCCTCGTCCAAGTACTCGCTTGCTCAAGTATTGGAACACGACGCTACTCTCTATATATAATATATATTTATATATATATAATATGTATATCAATATATATTTTTAATTATCAATTGATTTAGGTGAATTGGTACCTAGATAAGATTTGCTACAATTATATCGATCGATTAGTGGAGAGCGTGTACGTGTGTATATGTATATGTGTATACCTGTGTATGCGTGTAAGTGTCCTGCATGTGTCGTACGTACACATATGCTCCTAATGCATACGAGCGTGTGTGCATATGCATGTGTTTATTTGTTTGTTTGTGTACCTGTGGCGGCGCACGAGCGTCTTAGGCGACGCGTACTTGGTGCCCGCGTAATGTGGGATGAGAAAATTTTTCGCCTAATATATGGAACCGGTCCGCGCGCACGCACAATTCGCACGTGCAGGTTTGCGCGCGATCACACCGGCGCTTCATATACATATATGTATATATATAAATTTATGTCCGCGATAACACACGCGATATATACTATCGCGGTCGCGTTTTAATTCATTTACTTCCGCTACCTTCCGCTTCCACTGTGCGTGTGCCGCACAGATTATGCCACTCTCACACTCTCTCGTTCGCTCGCTCGCTCGCTTTCTTTCTCTCTGCCTTTTTCACTTCTTCTATCTCTCCCTCTCTCTCGCACGATTTACAAGAACGATGGCTCGTATGTAAAATTGCGCTAACTAATACTCGCCTTACCTCGCGCTACTTCGTCGCGTTCTTTGCCCTCCCCCCATTCTCGCGATCTTTTTCAAGTCGCCCTAAGTGTGGTCTTCTTTCTAAAACTCGATTCTTCTTTTTTTTTCCTCCTCCTCCTCCTACTCCTCCATTTTCTCTATCTCTCTCGGTCGAGATTTACGAAAACTTTCGTCGAGTGCGTAAGAAACGATCAATTGTCTATTTAGAATATTGCGATAGCAACGAATAGAAAAATTCAATATATTCCTTCTATCAACTAATATATGTATATGTGTACAATTATACCTAATGCGCGCTTGCTCCTTTAGCCCTCTCCCCCGTTCCCTACCTCGAGAAACCCTTAGCGCGAGTGACACGCACTCGACGAGTCTCTTGCTCGGACTCTACTCAACCCTACATATTCCCGCTATATTCGTTTATCGTTCTATCTATCATCTCCCGCGTCTTCCGATTAGACTCGATCGATCGATCGATCCGATCTATTGGTCGGTCACGGTTGGATGTCATCTTCGGTCTCTGCCAATGCTTAGTCGGAACGCGAGTCAAAAGAGGCCTGCGACGAGAACTACTTTCTTCCTCATCTGTTCTCTCCCCTCGCTCTCTACAGCCGTATTCTATCTCTCACATTTTGCTACCTTATTATTTTCTCCTTTACGACGCGACTCCCGTCCACGTTGAGCGCACGCGTCTTCGTGTCTTCGCGGGCCGAATAACGTGTCTTAGACGAAGGGACGGAGGGTCGTCGTTGAACGCGGCCGCGCTTCTCTCTAATTCTCGTTTTTTCCTCCGCACACTTCCGCACACTTTCCATCTATAAAACGCGTTTCCCCATGCGGTGTCCTAAACGCCGCCTAATCTCTACACGGCGAGACAAGATAGTATATACAAAAAGGAGTACCAAAAAAATAAATATATATGTGTATATATAGATGTGGAAATTACTTCTTTTTGTCCTTTCCTCGTTAGATTCGTACGCAACGTATATCGTAATCCGTTGGTCGTATAATCGCCTGTAAGTGTACACATGGATCTGTGTGTGTGTGTGTGTGTGTGTGTGTGTGTGTTTGTTTGTATGTATGTTCTGTCTAAATTACGTGTGTTTCCGCACGCGATCATGATATCGTCCGCTACCTATGCACGTGCTCGTCCACGTACTCGTATATGCGTGTGTACAAAGAGACCGATACGCGTGTAGAAGAAAAGTATCGCGAAAGAGACTCGTCATGCGAGGTCAACTACGTTGTCTTCCGACTGTTGCTGCTGCTATGCGGTTTTATGTCTTTTTTTATCTACGAAGCGGAACGCACAACGTTGCATACAAATTCCGAGCACAACGCTTCCTAGTCCTCGACCTTTGCCTCTTCCTCCTTTCTCTCTCTCTCACACACACACTCTCTCTCTTTCTTTCACACATACACACACATTCTCACTCGTGCTCTCTTTCTTTCTCTTGCGAGAAGAATCCCGTCGCGACGGAACGGCCCGGCCTATTGTCGGAAGTATTGTGAGACGCCTTTTTACACAACAAAAGGGTCGTTGAAAGGTGATTCGGTATTAGCTCTAAAGCCTGCTGCCTACTAATTAGTTATCAAAAGTATCCTAAAAATATCAAAGATATCATTAACCGGGCATTTTTGTCTCTCGAAATCGGTGCGCCATCGCCGAGGCCGGATCTCCACGTTCTTGCGAACGCGCGCGGCAACGAGTCGGAGATCGCGAGCTCGTCGCCCACCGACGCGATCCTAACGGCGACGAATCGTACACGTCTCAGGAAGCTGTGTTTTCTTCTATTTTCCTTTTTTTTTTTCTTTCGTAATGGGCAAAAAGTCGCGTCGAAAAATCGTTGATTAGACCTGCCGGAGTCTCCGTCTCCACCACCTTAAAGAAGGACGCGTGGTAGGAAGCGTCACGCTTTAAAAAGATCACCGATTATCCGACTTGCTATTTCGACTCGCCACTCCGAACTCCCCTACGAGGAATAAAAACCGCGGAACGGCGCGCCCCGTTTGAGCTTTTTTCCGCTTTCTCACGGACCCCACATATCTCTCCCCTCTCTCTCTCTCTGTCCTTTGAACTAACGGCGATTGCGTCATTGCGTTTGATTATATACACCGAGCGAAGAAGTTCGTTTGCTTGTAGGGATTAAGAGAAAAACGTGCACATTCGGTCGCGCGATCAATAAGTTGCCGGTTATTTAATTGATCGGTTAAAAGTGGTGGGCAAGGAGGGGGGATCGGTGTCGGTATGTACAAGGAGCGACAACATGCGGCTCTAATACGAATCTAATTATAGTGTTTCGCACGAAACGCGACCCCTCGGACGCGTGCATACACACACACACACACACACACACACACACACACACATACACTTTCTCCCCCACATCTATCGGACGTATGAAGAGTAAGAGTTAGGTACGATCTCTAGAGAGATATATCGCTGTATTTCATTTTTCCTTTTTTTCTCTCCACCGCCTACGAGTCGCGGTCGATCGCTACTTTGGTTTTGAGAACGGTACTCCCGGCACGTGACACGCTCCCTTTCGCCCGGTCGAGAGATCGAGCGCGTGGTCTCGTCCGTCGCGGGGAAGAAAGATCCGCGCGCCGCTCGTCGTTCTATCGAAAAAAAAGAGGAACGTACGGGCTCAGACGTAGAATATTCGATACGTTCCAGCCAGCGCCCCGATCGTTCTTCACTCGGGTATGTATCTCTGTCGGCACGCGACGACTAAGCTTAGCTCGACATGCAATATCGAACATTTTCTCCAAGACACCCGTCTCTTCCGGGCACTCGTATCTTCTTTTGTACATCACCTCACATGCTTTATCATCATCGTGAGATCTCGAGCCGATTGACCGTTCCATCGGTACGGAGAGTGACTGTTTATTGCACACACGTGATAATAATAATAATAATAATAGTAATAGTAGTAAAGTCAGGGTGTAAAATTTATCCTACTCACTCTCGCGCACAGGAGCCGCGGCCTTCGTCCCTCTTTTTTCGCGACGCGAGCAGCGGCCACCCTCTCTGTCCCTCTCCCTCTCTCTTTTTCTCTCTACTCTCTTGTCCTCTACTCTGCTCTCCGAGAGCGAGAGACGCGGCATGAGAGGTTCGCCTCGCACGTTCCCTTCTTTTCCCGCGAAGGCTCGTGAGTAAGGTCGCTGCTCGCACCGGTTTGGAAAGTATTGGCAGAGAATCCGGTACGGCTGACATAGGCAGGCCTGGACAACCCGGAGCATGTCCGTACGGAACGTCGCGCGGACGCACACGGCCGCTCACGCTCTCTTTCTTCCTCTCTTTCTCTTTATCGCGCGCGCGCGCGCGCACGCGTGTGCGTCGAAAATTGAACTATCTGTTTCAATGGTCTCCGTTTACAACCCTTCTTCCGTCGTCTACGTGACACATTGGTTTGTTCCTTTTTTCTTCTCTAGACTCTTAATTTGCCTCATTTTACGTTTCTTCCTTGTTTATTTTCCACTTTCGATATTTCCTTTTCTGTTCCCCTCTTCCTTTCACTCTCTCTCTCTTTCTCTCTTTCGCTCTCTTTCATTCGTTCGCTCGTCCTTTCTCTCATTTTCTCTCTCTCGCTCTCGCACTCGAATAAGTTAATTAGTAAAAAATCATTTCTTCTTAAATGTCTCCTTACGAGCGCGGTCGCGTTATCCGCGCGAGAAACGCATTACACAACGCACCTATGTAACATATTTTAATAAGTTCTTAATAACTAGAGACTATGTGTATGTCTGTCTGTGTCTCTCTGTGTGTATATATGTGTGTGTGTGTGTGTGTGTGTGTATGTGTTGTATATATGCGTGTGTGTGTGTTGTATATATGGGTGTATGTGTATGTTATGTGTGATACAGAGAATTACCTAATACACAGCGGTTTGAAGCGTGGCTTTTTTTTTCATTATTGATTAACATCCAATGCGAAACGCGGTACGCCTCTCGGTGTACCGTCTCCCCGCATCCTCTCCCTGTCACTCTCCTTCGAGATTCCAGCCGACGCCCCACATCTCCGCGCGTCGTTTTCGATCTCGTTGCTTCCTCTCACGCCTCCACTGCACTCGTTTCTTTGCATTCTCGTTATCTCTTTCGCTCGACTCTCGCTCTCGATCTTGCTCTCTTTCTTTCTTTCGCTCCCGTTCTCTCTCGCTCATTCGTTCACACTGGCAACACACTTTCGCGTCAGATCAGGTACTCGCGTTTCTTACGATCGTCGGTCGCGCGGAGCGACTTACCGCCGCGCTCGGAGCGCGTGCTTTCGTTCGAATTCGCGCGAACAATGTTGGGAAACGCGCTCCGATCGCCGGGAAGCCGCTCGCTGCCATCCAGGTCGCACTCCGCGAACTAAACAAGAGTGGACCTCAGGAGTGGCGGATGCGAGAAGGGACGTCTTCCTGGTTCTCGGAGGACGTGGCGGACAAACTCGGAGGAGAAGCGATCGTGACGAGGAAGCCTGCGCCGTCCGTGGCGCGGACAGAGACGGACACGCGAGAAGGCCAAGCCGGATCGCACAAATCGCGCTGGCGACTTCGTAAAACACTCGAGGAGGATCGGCCGACTCGACGGCGGGGTGCGTGTGCGAGGGCGGCCCCCCTCCCCCTCTCTCGCTCCTCGAGAGACGCGGTAACTAAGATACTCGATCTCGGACAGAACCGGTGCATTTTACAGACAGCGCAGACAGATAGTATTATATGTACGAGTAATCGATATACTGAGAATCCGTATCCGTTCTCTTCTGTCCTGGTCTCGGTGTGTGTTGTCTCTCTCTCTTTCTCTTCTTCCGGCGACGATGTCGGCTCGGCGCAGACCCGATCGCTTCCCCGCCGTGTCTTCTCCTGCTGAGGAAAGCGAAATCGCCGTTACGTTGACAGGCGAAATCCGGCTTGACGATGACGATGGTAACAGTCGCGACGGACGTTCGCATTAGCGAGTCGTTGCGGATGCGAGGTCGCAGGCAGGGTCGCAGGTCGTAGGTCGGATCGACGCCGAGAGGCATCGGCTGGCTTTTTCTTCGTCCAGTAACCGGTACAACTTGAAGTAGTAGCAGTGGAGTAGTAGTAGTAGTAATTTGTAGTAGAATAGTAGTTGTGGTAGTAGTAGTAGTAATAGTAGTAGTAGAGTAGTAATAATAGTGGTAATAGTAGAGTAGTGGTTGTAGTGACGATCGAGTGGTAATAGTATTAATAGCGGTTTTCAGGCTGTGTTCTTGTTGTTGTAGGTAAGTAAGTAAGTAATAAGGGTGGGTAGGGCGTGGGTTTGGGGGCACGTGAGGGGAGGGAGGAGGGTATTGGTATAGAGGTGGTAGTTAATTAGCTAGGGCTGCGAGATAATTAGGGACAACGCAGCTGGGGTTAACACCAGCGGAAAGGTACGGCCCGAGGCCGATCCGCTCCCTCCTTCACCAGTGGCTTGTGGAACTCCCGACCTGGCCGGGAGTGGATAGTCGCCCAGCAGTGCTCGCAATAGTACTGAAAGCAGAAAGTGTTGGGTCAGACAGTCAGATAATACAAAGCATTGGGACTTTGTAAATAATGGAAAGTGTGCCGAGAAGAGATTGGTCTCCAGGAGTTTGAGAATTCAATTTCAATCGGGTCGTGCCCCTTGCCGCGACATTTGACGCAACAATCTCCCAATGTCAACTCTGATTGAATCGAAAATTAAAATAGAACTTTCGCATGGCCTTTCTCCTGTTATTTAATAATAATGATGAGTCGTGAACATATACACACACACACACACACACACACACACATACCTGCAGGCAGGTGACGTTGGCGCAGAAGAATGGCGCAAACTTGCCACCGCAACGCTGACCTTGACATTCGTCACACATCTGATCGTCCAGAACGTACGGTTTGACTTCGACCTGTTTGAAAGATTACTCGTCAGTTCAGAGGAAACGAGAGAGGCAGAAAGATATCCTCAAGTGCTTCAGAACAGAAGCGGAGTTAAGCTCGTTTAATTCCCCGAATACCATTTTCCACGTCTAAAACAGACCTCACAAATCACGGACTTGGTCCGATCCTGTTCCGAATCCCTTACTTAGGGGAATTATTCGTTTAAGCTTTCTCGAAGAACGTTTAAGTATCCGCTTAAAAAAAAAAGACGCGAAAGAGAGAAAGAGAAAAATCGAGCACGAACAAGTACGAATTTTTGTTTTATTTCTTTTTCTTTTTGCCGACTTTCTCGTGCTTACCCTTTTGTCAATGTCGCCATGCTGCAGCTGTACGAATCGGGCCGAAATGGCAGCGATGTAGCTTTGCTGATTACTGAAGGCGACTCTTCCGGCTCCTTTGGGATACTTAAGTTCAGGATCGGTGTCTATGCCGGCGTAACAGACACCGCCGTAGAGCCGGTCCATGATCATAGCGAGCTCCACGGCCTTGAGAGGTCGAGGCACGCCGCCAACGAAGACAGTCTTTCGTGGATCCAGTGGCATGGATGCGTCCAACACGAAATCAGCGTCGCTAAGTCGCCATGGTCTAATTTGTACAGGCTTATCCTTGATCGTGGGCGAACTCACGCACAAGTAGAGCTTGTCCTCGTCCTGAATGCAGGCATCTATCAGCTGTTGCACCGAGCCTTCGTCCTGGAAAATCGAGCACGAAATCCGGGTTAATCCAGGATAAACGATATGCCGTAGTAAAAAGTGAAAGAGAAAGGGTGAGAGCGAAAAAGATGAGAGAAAAAACGTAAACGTATTTCTCTCTTTCTCGCTTGCCAAGTGTGTGATCGTACCTGGAAAAGCAGAAACGCGTAACCTTTCGGCGGAAAGTAGGATTTGCTTTCTGCCTTGTGCGGCCAATCCACTACCAGGGGACCAAATCGACGGAAACTGGCTGTAATTTCGTCTGTCGAGGAGAGAGAAAAGGGAAATATTATTCTCCCGTTAATAAGTTAGAATTACACCGCGCTTTGTCGATTTTATGCGAACCAAACATTGCTTCTGAGACGAATCTTACGGATTGTTCTGTCTTTCATAATTGAAACCAAAAGTACGAAAATCTGTACTTTAATGCAGACATCTATTATGCTTTAATCAACTTATACTTCATATACACTTTAATATAAACTTATATATTTAATACACTTTAACATAATAATATTGCACCTTGATGAATGTGCGCTTTCGCCAATACGAAGTAATGAGCGTACCTTCGTCGATGTCAGGTGGCAGGCCTCCGACGAAGACTTTCCTGGAGAAACGTTCGCCAGTTTCGCTGCCCTGGCTGTGTGGACTGCTCCGGCTCGGCGATGAGAGCGGCGCAGCTTGGGACGCGGGGATGCCGCCACCCACACCGACGCCGACGCTGACTCCGACGCCGACTCCGACACCGTCTAGCTGGCTCGGCGCATTCGGGTCTTCCAGCAAGGTAGCGCTCTGATCCTCGAGACTCGGGAAGAACGGAGATTTACCTGTGAATACACAACAACATTGTTCCACGTGAGTGATGATTATTCGATCGCCTAAATCGCAGAAAGCAACGCCCGGTGACGTTAGATTTAACGGGAGACATATGACCCGGTGGGGTCGAGTCGCAGGAGAATTGGGACGCGGGAGAGAGCCGGCGGAATAACGTGCAAAAATAACAGCCGCTGATAAACGACGGGGCTCTTACGACGAGGTGAGCCGTGCCTACGCTCTGCGTTTTCGTGACGAGCAAATGTGAGTCACGCGCGCGCGCGCGCGAGATCGCTATAAATCGTCCGCGGGAAATCAAGGTCCCGGTGTCTGACATTCGTACGCTTCTGGGTAGTTCATTATGCAATTGTGCGGAATCACGTAATAAGCGCGACGGGCAGGCAGGATGCGGGGCGGAGAAGGGGCAATCGCCCATCATGTTGTACGTGGCGCGGCGTAGCCGCGCGCGCGTGCATAATGTAACCGACGTAACCGCTTTCGACGTCTCTTTTTCTCTTTTTCCCTTTTTCTTCCTTTCTTTTCTTTTTTTTTTGTGGAACCGGAAGTTTGACGTTGCACAGTTGAAATATAGCCTCGTAAAAACGTAACGTTCCTTACGTAATGTTCTTGGCACGGCCTTTAGACTAGTCGCCGCGATAAGCGGGCGACTCTTCTGAAATACTGGTCGCGGCTGATTTTCTAAAGAAAAGCTTCGCCAGCTTGCAATCAAACCGAGAAATGCGAATAAAATATACTGTATTCCTAACTGATTTTAATCTCTATTTTTAATATATTCTAAACTTTTCTCTACACGCGTGAGGTTTTTAGTCAATAACACGGACATACACAAATTTCAGGATTATTGATCATTTTGTTGTCAAAATACAGCGGTGGGAAATCCAGCATCTTGAACTGCTTGAGAAATCGACAATAATTGAGTTCCCTCTACTGTTCTCTCTTTCAAGAAATAACCTCTTTCAAATAAACTCCCTTTCTCACCACGGTCGGTTGTTACGTTCTTGGCTAATTACGCGCGATCAGGTGAACGAGTCGGCGAACGCGAATGTCGTGCTCGATCATTTCGACTCTTCGAGAACGATTGGACGCGCGCGTGATAAAAGTCGATCACCCATGGCGTTGTCGAACGTCCACGGAGAAGCGCAGGAAAGAAACTCACTGTATCTTCTTCTGATGGGAAACCTCGCCCTTCTGATAAACGTTGCCATGCTCTCGACGACCACGACGACCACGACGAGGACGACAACAACACTGGCGCGTCGGGATCGAGATACGAGAACGATAACGTTCGCGGTTATACTATCTCGTCCACTCTGGGCGCTGTTTGTTTTCTCGCTGTCGTTAAGGAAAAGGAAAAAAAAAAGGAGGAACGACGGTAAACAGAGAACAACGCGCATGAATGACTTCGATACCCAGGCAGGCATTCCAGAGGCATGTATTATGGAACTCCTAGAAATCGATCCCGATCGGAATAAATACCGTTTTCCCTAAAAAAAAAAGAAACAATAGAAATCTGGGGAGTAACGGAATAATTCCGATCAGCGCCCATTCCGAAGAATTCCATTAAGCTGGAAACACATGATGCACGATTTTATGCCTTCTGACGTACATGCTGATCGACCGCAAACTCAGTTCACTGCATACAGAACTTCCAATGCACGATAGCGACTTATGCAGTGGACTGAACTGCCGGTCATGCATGCATGTAAGAAGGCATGAAATTGTGGGCATCGTGTGATTCTAGCTTGATACGTGACCGAGCTCGCAGGCGGGCGTCGCGAAACAAGCGAGTATACGCAGCCGCCGGTTGTTTCCTCGCGTTGTCCTCTGTGTCACTACGATGCTCACCTTCTTTCATTTCCGCGCGTATGTAATAATGTATGCGCAACAACGCGACGGCATGTGCTCTCGCGCGAGAACGGAATAGCGTTCGAGCACGGAAACGCAGCAGCGGAGCACACGAAGGGCTCTTCCTCGTGCGATTAATTCTCAAGGGGTTAATTCCGCGGTTAAGTTCCTCGTTTTTGTTTTCCTCTTGCGCATACACACATCGTGTCGTGGGAGAGCCATCGTGAACTGAGAGTCGTACGTGTATATTCTTGGATAAATGATAGAAGCGTCGATACGGCGTACACACGCCGTGCACGCGGGAAGAGGAGAGGCAGACGTTTCCTCTCGTATACGGTCTTGACGTGGATCGGACACACACGGAGGAAAATTGCAGGATCGTTTCCGTGATTATTGGTCGAGGCTAATTGAGCGATATTTACGGGAGTAATAGAGAGAAAACCGTTTGCGATGTGCGAAATGGACGAAAAAGTCCATGATCCACCGAGGAATTTCTTCTCCCGTTTAATGTTCGACGTACGAAATTATCATCGCGAAATCGCGAAATCGGCGAGCACGCACGGCTTTCGTATGCGAGGGACGCGACGCGGAGACGAAACGACGGGGAGTTACGTAAGGACCGGGTTGATACATACGGGCGTGTGCAACTACATCCGTAATTTCAGGTGCGAGACATTTAAGTATGCCCCACATCGACCGCAGATTTCGAATCCACGAAACGCATATTTCTCACACTCGGAGAAAACAGAATGGTCGATCTAACTAAAATTATAGTTATTTTTCTGCCTCAATTGTATCTTTTGTTTCTTCCAACATGGAAATGTAGTGTATAGTAGTGACGTGCATACAAGATTATTATCAGCATTATAGTAGAATTTAACAAAAAAAATGGTCTTCGCTATTATTTATAGTAATTATGTGATTACAGTTACAAATACCAGATACTTTTTTCACAATACATTCGTTCTTTTGAGAGAATGAAGATATTTTTATCGTTAAACGTCGAATTTTCAGCGTTTCTATATGTTTGTTTCACTATGCAAGTATTAAATGTTAAGTTAAAATAAAGTTGAGATAAATATACATACACAATATCACAAATACAAAAATATTTTTACTTTTCATTTTTCTTAGTGTTTCATTTATGCACCAGTTGATCTATAGAGATGCACAGATAACAAAAAAGGTTGAAATATGCATATATACGTGTATTTCTCTCACGCGCGAATATATCATCATAAATTATAAACTTTCCAGCGCTGTCATTTTGAAAAACAAAATGATCAATATATCTGAAATTTATATATGTTTGTATCTTAATCTTTAATGTCATAGTAGTTTTTCATCAAAATTTCATATGTAGCTTAGAATATATAAAAAATAGAATCTAGCACGCTAAGAACACACATAAAAGATGTCAACTTTAGTCGCGAATATCTCAGCAACGGTCAATCTGTCTTTAATTACACGAGCAGTTACATACATGATAGTAAAATTTAATTATTTGATTAAAGTTTTTATATTATTTATTGAGAATTTTAGTCTGAAATTTTATATTATTTATTTTACTTTATGTAGTAAATCGCGACAAATAGCGCGCTGCCTAGAATACTTCTGTGAAGAGCCAAATATCGACAACATGTCCCGCAACATTCGGGATGATTGGTCATTGTATTTGCAACGGTACTGTCACGTGTGCCGAGTTCGCGCCGGACATCGCCATCGAGTACACGAGGGGATTACGGTAAACTAATAATTTCGCCTCGCAATATCAGCGCTGCTAATCCTTGTGTGAACGATGCTTTACACTCCGCGTGCTCGTCCGTGTGTGTACTCTCCGCGACTCTCTGCGCCTTACATACATTAGCATAAATACTCTCGAGCGCGGGCGCGCGTCTATAATTCACCGGCGAATCGATAACACGTAAACGAACTTTAGAACTCGCGTGCGAGGATGAGTTAATGCACTCCGAAATATCTCCCGGCGATTCGCGGCGGCATCCTTTCGTCGTCGGGAGAGTTCCCCGTGTACGCTATGCGTAAGCGATTAATCCGCCAACGTTATCCGCGTGTTCCGCGTCTACGTATACCGTTACGCGACACGGGGTTGTTCCTTTGCGTATTTTTCCGTCTTTCTTTTCGTCGGTTGCGAGTATCCTGGCGCACACTCTAATCGCTCTAACATTCTTAACTATGTTTCAAATTAGGATTTACAGCATTTTAACTGAAATAAACTGGTTTATTATTCGCATCAGATTCTGATAAAAATTCTATAGACATCAATTGTGTGAATTTGCAACTTTTATACTCGGAATTTTAGCGAAAATTTGATACATATAAATCAGAAAAATCACAAAAGTTTTTTCATAACATTTTCTACATTTTTGTTGCGTGGACATTTCCTTACATAATATTTTCTGTATTTTAGAAAAGGTTTATTGACTTATATACTATAGATTTTCTTCTATAATCCGCAAATTTTCGTAACTTTTTACAAACTGTAAAATGAATTACACAAAGGAAGTTAAAGGAAAAAATTATAATAAAAAAGAAATCCTAATTATTTTCTAATGGTAACTTCATATTATTGAAATCACGATGTTAAAGTAAGAATTTTGCCTCGGGCTCCCGATAGATTTTTCGAATACACGTTTAAAAGTTTAACGTATATCCGCTTAGAGAAACGCTTGATGGAAACTGTGTCGATATAAATATTTAATCGTTTAAGCGGATTTCTCTCTTTCTCTCTCTCTCTTTACGATCTGTATACACGCATATTTGACAACAACACGAGTAACTGTTTAGATGACTACGGCTACGGAACAAGCATAAAAAAATATATACACGCGGTGTGATTGTCAGTGCCGATTCTTTTCCGTGCCTCGCGAGATTGCCAGAAAGAGCTAGTAACTTTTGTTTTTGTTAAAAAATACGGATTATATAAACGGATTTAAAATTAGTAAACGAATACACGTTTTCAAAAGCACGTACAATCGCGATTACAAGAAGCAATCACTTTCTTGAAACATCATAAGGAATACTGCAGATTAGTGTTAATGTTGGTTGCTTAGCAAACAATATATCAGATAAAAAATCAATAAATTAGGTGAATATATATATATTACGTGAAGATCATCCAGTATACACGTAGAGAATTTGTTTTTTGGCCATGCTTT